ATAGGAGGGGTATAGATGGGGAATGAATCTTTAAAGATTTTTATTATTTATTCTACTGGCCCAAATGATCCAAAACTTTGGTGGCATGCACCTAATGCAAGGTGGAAGCCACATGATTTTTTTCATTTTTTTTTTTTTATTTTTTTTGCGCTGGGTCGGACATGCCCTGTCCGGTCCGACGTCCGACCAGACGTCCGGTCGGACATCCCGGACGGTCCCGGACGTCCAGCAAAAACCTAGATTATTTTTCTTTCATTTTTATCTTGTTTTTTTATTTTTTTTTTACTTTTTATTTTTTTTAATCTTATAACTGCCATTTCGTCAAAATGGACATCTTTTATTTTTTGAACGAAATTGAAACCGACTTTTTTGGCCCAAAACTCGTCAAAATTTGCTGTTCCTGAGGGTCCGGCGTTTGTAAAATGCTGGACCCCCTGGCTGTACATGAACTTAGCTTGAGACCAGGCACCTCCAGGCAGGACTGCCTGGAGGTTCCTGGTCTCAAGCTAGGTCCATGTACAGCCAGGGGGTCCAGCATTTGTAAAACGCTGGACCCTCAGGAACAGCAAATTTTGACAAGTTTTCGACCAAAAACTCAGTTTCAATTTCGTTCAAAAAATAAAAAATGTCCATTTTGACGAAATGGTCGTTTTATACTTTATATGAATTCTCATTTCATGCAGAATAATCACATGAATAAAATAAACAATTCAACATGTAGCAGTCTATTGTAACTGTCTTTTGTATAAGAAGATCCATGAAATCTTATACAGCACCTTTAGATTCCATACAGAATGACAAATTTCAGAGCAGAGCAGATGAGCCATCTTTCAAGGAACAACCGGATCTAGGATTTGACAAAGCAGTGAAGTCATCCTGGTTTCTAGCCAGCACTATGCAGTCGGCCACAAACCGGATCTAGGATAAATGCAACCCTCCCGAGAGGAAGGAGAGCTTTAGGCAGCAACCTACAATCTCTCTCTCTGCGCCTGGGTGATCCCCGTCCTTGAGAACAACGATGGGCATTAAAACTTAAGGGCCTCACTCCACCACTTCTGACTTTCAGAAAACACAAACTCTGTGAAATCCCATTCAAGAGTGCCCTTCACCATGGCGCTATGTACGGTTCGCGGAATCACCGTGTTCACTACCGTAACACGAACTTGTGAAATCCCGTTCGAGAGTGCCCTTGGCCACACTGGGCTCTCAAACGGGGCACTATGTACGTCCCAAAATCACAGTGGTCACTACCAGACGAGTGCAGTCTGAAGAATTCTGACAACATAAGATTTGTGAAGAGTTCTGACATAAAATTTGTGAAGAATTCTGACATAAGATTCTCGTCCGTCTTTCCGGACATCCGTTAAAATTGGAACGATACAGAGAAGATTAGCATGGCCCCTGCGCTTTCAAGGATGACACGCATAAATCGAGAAGCGGCAAAAAAAAAAAAAAAAAAAAAGATTCTTGTCCGTCGCGGTGCACTCCCGAATCTCAGACCAAACTCTGAGGTCCAGTGGGGGAGCCTAAAAAATGGGGAGTTGCACAGGCGCCTAGGGGAAGTCCAAGAGTACTCTCAAACCCGGCTTTCTGACAGCTCTCGAAGTCGCTTTTCGGGGAGGTGAATGAGAGAGAATATGTGGCGGTGCTGGCACTCCCAAAACACAAGTTTTGGGATTGGTGTGGCGAGGCCCTGGCCCCTTAGTATCACGAATACAGAAAGGACAGGACCCCACTGTAGGGAACTGCAACCGTACACCTGTATAACTCACACTAGTTTTGCACATCCGTGTCTCACTTATGTGGTGTATGCGTATAGATAGAGGATGCCGACACTTACATGGTGTATGCGTGTAGATAAGAGGATGCCAAGGATCCCAAACAGCTCCGTTGCTGGCTAGGCCGCGTTAGCGGCCATAATTCTCTTTTGGTTTCCTGCTGGTAACCTTCCTCGATGGCCTTCAACGCAGAAACTCTCTTCTGCGAACACGAAGGGGAAAGGTGGCACTCGTTTTTGCAAGAAATCCATCCGCAGTCCAAAAGGACTTCTGTTGCTCGAAGGGATAACTACAGCGAAACTCTCTTCTGCGAACACGAAGGGGAAAGGTGGCATTCATTTTTGCAAGAAATCCATCTGCAGTCCAAAAGGACTTCTGTTGCTCCAAGGGATAACTACGGCGGGATAACTACGGCGGAACATCGGAAACTGAGGTATCAACCTTTTCCCCTACCAATGTAGATGACACTGTCAAGCCCATTTGGCTGTGAGCACGCCCTACTTAGTTGCTCGCTAGTACTACCTTCTTCCCCCTAATGCAATATACGGCCATTATAGCTATATTTAGACTGAAAGATGTGCCCCAAATACAGCAATAATGGCCTTATTACGATTACGTTGTATTCGGGGGAAGAAGGTAGAAGGCAGCTCTACCAGTAGATAGCAACACCTCCATTCACGGGCATAATCAACATGATAGCACCTCAAGTCGTCACCTCTCCAGGCCTCACTGTAAGCTGTCTTAGGTGACCGCTTTGGCCTGCAACACACGGGGAGGGAGAGAGGTCAGCAAAAAACTGCAAGCGTTCGTCTCTCCAAGCTCTTGCTTGCCGAAACCTGCCTGACTTCGCCGCTGCCTAATGCTTGATACTTCATGGCAGGTGCATCCGTGGCAGTAAAGAGGGCAACGTGAGGACCTTTTTCTCCGCCCCTGCCTAATGCCTGATGCTTTATGGTGACCGCCCCTGACTAATGCCTGATGCTTTATGGTGATATTGCTCTTCCTGCTTTACCTGCCATGGTACATCAGTGGCAGTAAAGGGGGAAGAGCAATATCACCTCTCCAGGCCTCACACCAGCTGTCTTTGGTGACCGCTGTGTGGCCTGAATACCCTGCAACACAGGGAGGGAGAGAACGTCGGCAAAAAACTGTAAGCTTTCCTCCAAACTCTTGTTTGCCAACACACGCCCGACTTTGCCTACGTTCTTTCCCGAAATCAATACCCGGTCAGTGCATCGCCATCTGCGCAAAATGTCGCACTCACTACCCGACTCACTACCCGTACAATGACCGAGTGTTGTATTCGTGGGAATGTCCTGCTGCAGCCTCCTCGGATAGGGTTTAGGGTTCAAGGTTTGCACCTGAGAAAATTTCGACTTCCCGCTGGCTGCTTTTTTAAAGCAAAACCCACAGCGCTAGCTCGTTCCTGAAGACAAAAAGTCCGTACACCTGTCTGGATCCCATAATAAGACAACATAGCCCAAGCAAAACCACTCACTCAAAACCTCAACTAAACTCTTGAACAATCATCTATTCACAGTAAGATTTGCCCCCAGACAGTGTGCACACAAACACTCAGAAATTAGTTAAAAAATGCTGAGAAAGGTGTTAGGGGCAATGGTTCCATTTCTCAAAGAAGGTACCATAGGTCTTCTCGTGCCTGGAACTCTTATAACTCGCCTCGGCCCACCGTGCATTACCCATCAAGCACACAATTTGCTCTCGTTAACATTCTATTCCCATCCTGATCAGGAACGTCCTAACAGTATCTGTTTCATCACGGATACGATTCAGAGAACTGGATTCGTTGAGAGCAATTGTGATCAAAAGAAGAAGCTGAAAGGGGTCCTCTTCCCTTGCCTTCCGCGCCCACTCTCTCTCTCTCTCTCTCTCTCTCACACACACACACACACACACACACACACACACACACACACGCACGCGAGAGCTGGATTCGTTGAGAGCAATTGTGATCAAAAGAAGAAGCTGAAAGGGGTCCTCTTCCCTTGCCTTCCGCGCCCACTTTCTCCCTCTCTCTCTCTCTCTCTCTCACACACACACACACACACACACACACACGCACACACACGCACGCGCGCTCTCTCACATGCACATTCAAACCATAACAAAACATCTAAAAGCAAATAAAGAGGAGAATAGCACAGCATAAAAAAAACTCAGTTCTTTGGTTGAACATGCTAATTCCGATCTGTAGGCGGTCCTTTTTCTCCATAGCATATGCTATCGACAGCCTCGGCGGGTTGCGCGGGAGGCTCAGAGGCGGGGTTGAAGAAGCTCGAGACACCTATCAGAAACAGCCTGGCCGTGCTGTTTGGAGCCACATCGCAGAACTGCAGAAGCAAAGAGAAACAAAGCAGTATTGCTAAGCATCGAGTTTTAGCGCCAGCATTATTAGACATGCTGCCACTTGGGCAAATCGACACACTACTTTCATGAATACGGAAATCCCAAATGCGTAGGCCACAAGGTACAAGCACCCTGCCGTAGTGTGACCCATCGACCATAGCCCTTATTTTCCGCAGCGCAGAGCACTACCCCTTCCGCCTAGCGACCTGCGCGTATGTCCCCAGGCAAGGATGACGATTTCCTAAGCAACCCACTTCGATGGATTGATGGATGATTAGACACGACACAAAAGTTAAGGTCCAGTTGAAAAATTGCTCATGACGTATCCAGTGTGCTGATATTCAAATACCATGTTTGATTACTGGAAAAGTTCCATGCAGAGAATCAGTGTCCTTCTCTCTGAATAAAAGAAGAAGAACGAAGAAAAAAGAAAAAAGAAAAAAGAAAAAAGAAAAAAGAAGAAGAAGAAGAAGAAGAAGAACAGGCTTTAGTTTACCGCAGTTCACCCCTTGGGGCGAACTGTCATTATTGTTTATGCACTGCCAAGCAAGAAGAAAACGTATACCGATAGCAAGAGCAGGAAAGAACCCCCGCAAGAAAAACAAGAAATCCAAAGCAAGAAAGGGGCAAAAAGAAAAAGGAAAGAAAGAAACAGAAAAGAGTTCGGGAGAAAGGAAGGAAAGGAGATAAGGGAGAGTGAAAAGAAAGGGAGAGAGAGAGGAGAGAGAAACATATCTACAAGGGGAAAGAGACGGAGGGAAGGAAAGAAATGGACAGGCAGGGAGGAGACAGAGCAAGCAAGAAGAACCACAGGTCCTACTCAGTTCCAGTAGCAACCAAGAGGAAACCAAGAGGAACCGCAGGTTCCATTCATTGCCACGCCAACACCCTCATCCAGAAAGAAAAAACGAAAGAAGTCAGAGAGAGAGAGAGAGGAAGAATCCGCTACAAATCCACAGCATCCTCGCCGAAAGAATACTTCCTCTCCGGCAGAGAAAGCCTTCAATTCCCCATAACAAGCTTTTCAGTGAATCCAAGGCGAATTTTGCAGTAAAATTCCGTCTGAGACCCGCAGTCTCGATTCTGGAACTCGAGCTCCCTTTTTTCTCTTTCGCTTCAAACAACCGCCAAGTTCTCAAAAGCACACCCTAAAAGCAAAACTCAAAAAAGAATAATAAATCATCCATACCTCGAAAGTCTTCACCCACTTCTCGTACATACACCAGCATAAGCCCGACCTAATCAACTGAAGTCTCGACAAATATTACCTCCGCGTTTTTTTATCACACTTTCTCGTCGTGAAGGCTCTCTCCCTCTCTCTCTCTCTCTCTCTCTCTCACACACACACACACACACACACACACACACACACACACACACACACACACACGCACAAACGGCTCCACTTCCGATTGGCACTGAAGGGTCGTCGAAAACCACTACACGGGCAGCCCTAGTCAGGGCTCATTAAATACCGTTCGCTTCCTAGGGAAGAGGCACCTTCCGAGCACGGATGATCCACCGACCTGCTAACCACATCATCGGGGTAGAGCCCACGTGGCACACAATTGGCGAGAGAATATGAATCTGCGGCATCGCCATGAATGACAACATCCGTAGAGGTATGCGGGAAGCATTCCATACGAGCGTACAAAAATAGACAAGCCCCAGGCCGACCATGCGCTGGCATGCATGGATAGAACAAAGATAGGGCCTCGCTGCACTACTCTTGAAATGCACAAAAGACAAAAATCATGTCGCCGCATCTTTCCATGTTCTAGCGGAAGATTCACTCTCGTTTTGCACCTTTCAAGAGTAGTGCAGCGAGGCCCATAATACAGTAATAACGTAGCGACAAAAGAAGCCTTAAACGCTGGTTAACCGGAAAGCCCCCAAAGGGAGGATGCGAGGAAAAACATAGCATGCGAGAGCGTGCGGATCGTTGGCAGAAGAATTTATTACATAATACATTTCAATTTCCGAGAAACTGAGCTGCACAGTCAGCAGAGAGCGCAGCGATCGATATAAAATAACAACGAATGAATATGATGACCTTCGCCGCTCAGGGCGCGAATTCAGGTCCCCTGGGCAGAAAGAATCTCAACAACAAAGCAAATATATATTCCTTAAATGGCAGCTACACCGCCTCCAAAATCAATATTTACCTGCCGTCCCATCCTATCTCTCTCCCTACTCCTTTATCTCCCTATCTATCTATCTCCCTACTCCTTAATCTATCTATCTATCTATCTATCTATCTATCTATCTATCTATCTATCTATCTAGCTAGCTATCTATCTACCTACATATGTCTGAGTTTCTCTGTTCATCTATCTATGGATCTATCTTTCGATACAACTCTGTATCTATCTGTCTATCTATCAATCGATCTATCTATTCATTCTTATCTTCCTACCCGCTGATCAAGTACCTCAAATCTGATAACACATCCAAAAGCAATTCTGAATATAGAATCTCACTACCTATGAAAGAGCTTTACACGATAAAAATCTTCGTTCTCCGCTCACCATATATACTATATGCAAGTTAACCTGATCGACGACGTCGAATTCAATCGCAGATCGTATTCAATCGCAGAATGATTCATAACCTCGTCGGATCAATCAACGAACGAAAGAAGGAAGAAGGAATAAAAGATTTCAAGCATTGCAGGACTGGACTATAACAAGGCCTGGTCGTTGCACAGTGGACACGAACCTAATTTTCTTCTCCACGTGTGCAGACTTCCGCCAAGCTCGTCTTGTTGCCACTTGTACCCCTGTGCTCGCCGTCCAGCAGACACCTCCGTAGCCCGATCCCCATCCCGATCCCGATCCAATTCTCGCAGCACACGCGACATGTACTTCTTCTTGTTGTCCACTCCCGCCAGATGCACCATGAAATCGCCTTTCGCGAACACACCCCTCCATACGGCTTTCGTCTGCAACAGCAATCGTTTGCTGCCCACGACCGACGGCCGCCAAAGATTCGAATTGAACGCACACTGCATCACTGGAACCCGCACGTGGCGCCGCCTCTCCGCATCGTCCATGGTCGCAATCAAGTGCTTGAGAGCATCGTTATCCCCACTCTTGCAGCGGCCAAATGGGCGGACAAACCTACTCTGGCTCCACCACAGCTCCAGAAATTCATGGCTCCAAGTCGAATTCCGAACGAAGAACATGCCCGCATTCACACCGTTCTGGTCTTCCGTCACGATGAAATCGGGCAGGTCCACCTCCGACTGGTCCTGCTGCTGAATGCCGACGTTCCCTAGGGCCGCTGCAGATATCGTCGCCGCCTTTCTCCCTCGGGACAACGGTGGCAGTCCCGTTGCGATCACCGAAGCAACCACCTCTTGAAGCGTTACCTCCGGATTGGTCACGACGGAATCAGCATCAGTCCAGAACACCCAATCATAGCTGCGAAGGTGTTTCTTCACGGCGAGAATCTTGCTCCAGCTGGGCGGACGATGTCTGTCCACAAGGTCGCTCGCATCGATGAAATCGTAGCCGTGCTTCTTCACGTACTTTTCCTTGTTCGGTGTCACCATCTCTGCCAGACCTTTGAAAGATCGCTTTGGAATTGTGCTTGCCCCATCGGAACACGTCACCATAGCGAATCGACCATCGGCAATAGCGTAATGTCGGTAATCGTGAGGTTTGTGGCACTGCCGTCCAAGCGCATTCGCACGGGTTAGCAAGTACTCTGAACTCTTCAAGAAGCAGTATTGCACCAACACGAAGATGGCCAAACCAGTCAGCACTCCCTTCAACAATCTCGTGCACTGTCTCCCACCCTTCTCTCCTCCGCCTTCGGTACTCCACGGGGATTCTCGTTTGCCATCTCCTCCTCCTCCTCCTCCTCCTTTTTCCCCCAACCTCCCCCCTTCAGCCTTTATCCACCTCTCTCTTTCCCTAACACCCCCACTGCCTTCGCGCTCAGGAAACGGAAAACATGAACACTGGCCGCTCTGGCGCTCGCAATACTGATTTCGTCGGGCATCTGCTTCCCACCCTCGACTGACAAGTCCCCCACCGCCTTCCTCTCCCTTACCGTGCCGCGCACTTGAGCTGCGCACGTTTTTCCCCGATTCCACCACACACAGAACACCACCGTCTCGCTGAACCTTTCCCGCTCCGACAAGCTCCGCATATCTCTCCTCCGACGGCACGGCTTCGGCAGCTGCTTCTGCCTCGGAAAGCCGCCGCAATCTACAACAGTCGCATTGTTCCCCTCTCCCGCCGAGCGCACACCCTTGCACATGCACAAGCGATGGGCCAGGCTCCACCACATCTCCATACTCCATCGCACCTTTCTTTTGCCCCCGGGATGAACAAGATTGATCCCGCGAATCGCCACCAATTTCAGCCTGACCCAGTTTCATAGAGGCACCACCGTATGCGGCAGGCACATAACCCGACCATAAATTGGTGCGAGGGCGAGAGGAGGCAGCCGAAAGCATTCACCCCCCAGTCTTGCTAATTATTTTCTTACGGTTCTCTTCCCCCTTCCACCACCACCACCCCTCTCCCGCCAGGAAGCAATTAGGAAACCCCGCCGCCTCACGTACCCACTAAACCTCCCGCTAACCACAACACGTGAATACACACCTACGAAGATACACACGCGTCACCACATCATCATCATCATCTGCCTCGACGTTGTGCCATTCACTACCGAGCTCTGGCCCATATCATTTCACTACCTTCTTCGCTTCCGCCATCGAAGAATCGACGATGGTGACAGATTCACCCGCCCACGCTTCGTCCCGAGCCTCACGATCACTGAATCCTAACATCCACCGAGAAGTTCAGAGGCGGAGTCGACCGTTGCAGAAGGATTCAACTACAGCCGATGGAATTGGAAATTCGGAAACTACTGTAATTGATACGTCGCCGCTCTCCAACACCAACAGTGCCAACCGACGAGCGGCGCAGTGTGGCCCAAGGTGTGCTTCTGAATATTCGATTTTTTCCCCAGCCGTTACGACTCCACATGCCCGCCAACCGTTACGCATGTCTTCCCTCCTTCCCAAGAGTATGAGGCGGTCCGCCGCGAGGGCTACACAAGAAGCAGAAACCAGTCTGCACTGGATGGGTGAAAACGAGAGCTCGAAGCGGCCGTCGTCGACAAGAGACCGCGCGGGGAGAGCTAGGGGAGTCGCAAGATGAAGGCGAGACAAACGGGCAGATGCGCATTCACCGTAAGACGGCCAAAGCGCAAAGGGCACGATACCGGAGCGCCCGGCGTGAGCGACAGGCAGAACGGCGAAAGATGCCACCCCGCTGAACCGGAACTGCGTAGTAGGTGTAACGAAGCCGAACACATTTCGCTATGCTACCGCAGTACCGCCCAGCGAAAGGAAGCAACGGTGGGGCGCCGAAGAAGCAACATGTGGCGGCACTCCCAGGGCTACCATTCGGGCAAAACCCCTCCGGCCCTACGACTTCAGAGCTCCGCAGGGGCCCAGACAAAACTTACAGACACGATGGCAAGTGGCATATATATAGCCGCGACAACAACGAAAGTGTCGGAGACAGCAATCCGTTGCTGTCGCTCCCGCTCCGCGGTGTCGTCGTCCACCGGCGCGACAACGCGCAGGACACGAGCATGGGACACGGCTAGGAAAACTGTTAGACCACGCCCTGCGTGGTGGCGCAGCCTGGGGCGTGGGGGCAGATGTTGTGGACGCGGGAGCAATTGCGTGCGGCAACAGTGCCGTCACACAGCATTGGCTGGCTGAAGTGGTTGACCCTTTTTCTTTCCAGGCTGGGAGGCTAAGGGCATACTCACAGGGGGACCAAATGAACCAAAATCCCAAAATTTGAGGCATTTTTGTGGTCACACGGGGGTGGCCCTGTACCCAAATGCCTCAAATCGTGACCAAATGTCAGCGGCCTGCGAGGCCGCGGGGGTACCCTTTTTGAGACCACCTCCAGAGGTGGTCTCAAATGACCAAACGCTTTTTTCGTTTCGTTTCCTCAATTTGTAGAAAATCGTAGAAGAATAAGACAACCAGCCGAARTTGTTTTTCTTTTCTTTTTTCTTTTTTTTCTTTTTCTTTTCTTTGGTGTCCCCTCGTGTGACCACACGACCTTGCCCTGAGTGCGAAGTGTCAGGGTTGCGACTTCGTCCTTCTTCCTTTCTGGACGAAGTCCGCACGTGTGACCACACAGGGACCAAATGACCCAAATAACCGTACCCAGATGCCTCAAATTTTTGGTTCTTTTGGTCCCCCCCGTGTGAGTATGCCCTAAGTTGTAAAAGTAACCTATACAGCATTCTTCGGAGGCCCGCGGAGGTTGGGTGCTACTGGACCACAAAGGCAGGCGGTGCCAGCAAAAAGAAAACAAACCCGCCGCGTGGTCGCTTTGGCCTCCCATCTATCGATAATAGGCTAGAACCTCCAAGTCGAAACTGCAGAAAGCGGCCTCTTATGGCCGCCCACATGAGACGAAATTCAACAAGACTCCTGAATTTTTGGTGCTAACTTGCTTTTGATCTTCAAGGTATTTTGATAAAGCAATCTGGCTGCTGTTGCAGCCCCTTTAATTGTGCTTCAAGGTTAATTTTGGAAAGCTGATAGCTTCAGGATGGGACGCTGGACCCGGTTTCCAGCAGTGGGAATGTTAGTCTTTGAATAGTTTTTGGTTGAGCTGGGCTTGTCAGCTGAACTGGCTGAGGCTGCCAGGACAACTCCGGGTCGAACTGTGAGGTCCCCGGCCTCATTCCATTTTTGGCAATATATGAATGAAGCTTTCCACATAGACGATTGCGAAAGCCGAGAGCAAAGAGGGGGGACGCGAAACAATCAGTCAGCAGATACTGAGCTTATCCAGCTGCCACGACCGTCTTCCCACGAACACCACGCACGCTTCCCTTGACTGCACTTGAGCGAGAAGATAGCTTGTATTCATTCATCATGAAGGTGCTTTATGTTCGGGGAACGACTGTAGAGGTGTATCCCTCGGTTAGTAGTCAATCAATACACATTAGAAACCCTCTGCATGCCACACACACACACACACACACACACACACACACACACACACACACACACATTTCTCAGCGGTGTCGCTAACTGAGATCTCAAATAGGCGCTGGAGTTTCCATGGGGAGAGAAGGTTGTTTTTCCCTCTCTTCCCCTCTTCCCCTCTTCCCATGGGAATAGTGGGCGCTGAAATATTCATCTGATTTTTCAATCTGTTTTTCCTAATTGAAAACGCTTCTAAGGCTTGGTGCTGGTGGCAGGGGGTGGTGGTGGCTGTGATGGAGGGAGAGGATGCGCTCGACTGTGAAGGGGCTAGCCTGCAAAGTTGAAATAGGGTATAGCAGCGGTGGAGATGGTGGCTCCATTGCGGTAAGACTTGCCGGAGTGTGGTTGAGAAGTTTTTTTTGTGTGAGGTCTGCAGCCAGTCCCTGACGGATGGATGATCGGATCTACAACTACGGTGCTGATTGGTGGCTTGACTGTTATCTGCCGTTGTCTTGAGTCCTAATGGTTTGCAAAGAGATGAGGCCAGGACGATGCTGGTCGCTGCTGGGGGGTTTGGTCGCGCTGCCCTGTACCTCGAGCTGTACGAGGGTATGAGACCTGGCAGAGAAATCTGAGTTGTCGAGGGTGGAAGACACTCTAGTGTCTTTTGGTGAGTTGGTGCCTAGTCGACGCTCGGCCGGAGCCGGGGCGGGTCGCGTTGCCCTGTGGCCTAGCAGATGGGGGGTTTTCTGGGGTGGGTCGTGCCACTCTGTAACCTAGCAGTTGGGGGCATGAGGCTTGGTAGAGATTGGGCATTGGGGTATAGGGGTGAGGCAGGTAGGGTTGGGCCGCTGAAAGGTACCAAGGCAGGTGTTTTTTTTTTGGGTCTGAATTCTCCTTTGAGCCAAGATTCGAAAATAAAAGGGCCCTTTGAATTTAGTACTGCATAGATGTTTGGTTTCTTCCATTAGCCCCTTTGAGGTTGTTCCATTAGTACTGGGTGCAATTTGTTCTTAGAGTTTTCTCAGCCGAAGCCGGGTAATGGCCCCGGTGCTTGAATACTTGTGTTTTCATATGGGATGCTGGGCCCGGTTCCCAGCACGTGCTGCTCCCCACGAATAGAATGGAGCATGTTGTTCCCCCCCCAAAATGAAAATATTATAACCGCTGTCCAAGCCTTGGAGATAATCAATACGGAACGAAGGGAGGTTGTGGTCCTCCTCTTAGATATGAAAAAGGCTTATGACAAAGTTGGCTGGGCCTTTGTCGCAACTACTCAGAGTAAAATGGACTTGGTCCAGACTTCTACCTATGGGTGAAAGTCATGTATTCCCAGGCAGTCTCATCAGTAGTGGTAAATGGCCAATTGTCAGACGAGTTTCATTTCGCGCGTTTACTTCGCCAAGGGTGCCCATTGGCCCCTCTATTATTTGTTGTGCAATTAAACCACCAGTACTAGGCCTGCTATTTTTTTTTTCGGTCGGCCATTAACGGCCCGCGTCCTTCACGTGAAAAGGCAGGTTCGGGCTGGAGGCCGTGGGGAGTTCCAATGGGCCCAGACAGAGAACGCCGCCAGTAGTTTGTGGAAAAACAAAAAAAGGCCGACAAAAACACAACGTATTGTTCGGAATACCCTGACAACAGTGTTTTGTCGGGCCGGAAAATTCCCGTGGTTCGACCGTTGGCTGCTCGTGGATGGGTGCAGTCAGTTCCCGTGTGTGTGTGTGTGTGTGTCGCCGACCATTGTGGCGTGACCGTCTTCGCGCGACCGCGGAAAGGGTACTTCAAGGGACTCATGACGGTCGTCGACTTCGCCTCGGCTGCAGCGGGCGTTTGGTCGTTTGTTCGTTTGTTGGATGTGCTTACACAAGAAGCAGGAAAAGGGAGAGAGAGAGAGAGAGAGAGAGAGAGAGAGA